ACATAAATAAATTACGGAAGTAACCGGCTGCTAATTCATTCCAGATGTACGTAGAGTGCAAGAAGCGAATCGCTCATTCTCATATTCATCAGTGAATTCAATCTGGCCGCGTTTGCAACAACGTTCCGACCCTGGCGGAGATGAGTATGTTTGAAAATGTGACCGAGTCCAGAGATCCGAAGGCGAGGAGATGGCAGCAAGGAGTAGAAGATAGCGGCGTCAGAGAGCAAAGGAGAGAGAGAGAGGCAAACAGAGAGAAGAAAGGTGGAAATTGAAGAAGGAAAGAATGTGCATGAGGGCAGACAAGAATGAGAAAGAAACGATTATAGTGGTAGCATCGAGAGGAAAAGAGAGAGAAAAAGAGAAAGAAAAAGTAAGAAAGAGAAACGCGCATATGGGGGTGAAGGAGAAATAAGGAAAGAAGAGAGAGCGAGAGAGTCGAAGGCGAGTCAAATGTTAGCGAGTGCATGGCGATGGAACGTCTTTAAGACCAAGGAGGGACTTATATAAGAAAGCAAGATGGCAACCGGTTGTCCCTGAGCCGCAACCGACGTTTATTTGCGCATTTTTATCTATTTTTCGAGCAGGCCAAAAAACTTCGCGCGCAACCAGTCCGGTCGACGGCGCACGTGAGTTTGTCGCGAATGCCAAAAAGATTTTTCTTTCCCATATTCGGATATGCGCGTTCTCTCTTGTCACTGGAGTGAGGGAGAAAAGGGATGTGAATATTCCACAAACATATCGATTTGATACGATATCGATAATTATGTTATCAGCCATAATCATCATCAGTATCAATATATATTGGAGATTTACTAATTTTATTACATCATTTATGTTATCGCACTTACTTATGTAATATATCTGCACAAATATTTTCTACTTCTATTACTTATAAGATTTAGGGATATTATTTTGACTTTTTGTTACACAAATATTATTTGAATCATTGCTGATTTATTCCGAATTTTAATTCTTAAATTTTCACTATGAAACGAATAAAATAAGTGAGACACTGAAGAATTAATTTCTTTGTGAGTGAATAATCAGCATGGAATTATGATGGAATTTTTTAGGTGAATATGAAAAAATACTCGAACATAATTTAATCAAAGTACGCTAGAGATTTTATTGCTACGAATAAAATAAAAAATTTAACAGTGCATTAATGTTAACATGAAATACCGTTTTGATAACGTCTAACATCCACTATCAAACACAATAAGTGACGAACGAGCGATACTGTTTGTCATCGCAGATGTCCATTCTCATTTACATGTACATTTGGAGATATTGAATATCCTGTTGTAATTTTCGTACAAATACAAATCACTCGCTCATTCCATGACGTAATATTGAAATAATCGACTGTCCTCTCTCGTCTGTATCCCAATGAGCGCACATACCCGATCGTTTGCTCTGTCTGTTTGCTCACATGTGACAGCGCTCGCGCGCGCATTTTGTGCTTGCCACCGTCACAAGAGAAGAGACATAACTGATGTAAATTGATATCAATTTACATTGCCGACTTTCTCGCTTAATTTTCTCGTTTTTCACATGGAAACGCGATCAGTTTATCGACGTCTCCATTTGAATAATTTTATTGATTCTCTTCCGACGATAATTGTCTTCTGCTACAAACAGTAGTGCAAAGAAGCAGAATCTTTTTCTCTGTTTTTTTTTTCTGAGAGATCGTATACTATTTTATAAAAAATATTCTATTATTACTTTATAATATTATATATTTTTAGATATATTTATAGAATATTTTGTATATTAATATTTATACGCATATGTAAAATTTAAAAATAATCTTATATACTTATTTAATTTTAATTGCAGAAAATATGTAAAAAGGTGTAATAAAAGATAATACATAAATCTGTTATATGAAAAATAGTTTTACATAGTTTTCTATAAAAATGTTAATTTTTTAAAATGATGGTAATCTTATGTATTAGACATTAAAATATGCATCATTTAAATGCGGACCTCCATGAGTTTATCTCGTTTCCGTATTCAGAAGCCTTAATCGGCATCAGTAATTTTCCACAAGTTTCATGTATACTGAAAAATTCAACTAGATAACTTTGAAATGGTTGAGATCACATGTTAATCATTTATCATGCGTACAAGAACAAAACAATTTTATCTTTATAAATACTATTAAATATGAATAGCATTAGCACTTATGAATAATGCTATTGTTAATATTCGCTTATAGAGAACAGTTTAAATATGTAAAAAGATAATAAGACAACCAAAAGCATGCACAGCTAATACTTTGATTCGTTAAAGTGCGCGGAGTAATGCTAATAATCTTCTATCCATACTTATATATATTTAGACAAGCAATCAAGAGAAATTACTGGTCATTGTTCAAATATCAATGTTGCGAGTTAATTATTTTAAATGTCAAAAAACACCATCGTATTTCATGCGAAATTCACACGCAGCACAAAGCAAGGCAAGATGTGTATCTAAACGCGGTCCATCTAATTGCGAATACTTTAGATTATCCGATTTCGCAAATTCAAATTTTTATATGTTAATAATTGCGCTAGAAAAAGACTTTAATTCTTCTATCTTTTTCCGCTTATCTTATACATATAATTGTCCAAATCCGTTATCTGGATATTAAATAAAAATTAATCTAACACTCACCAATACAATGCAACAGCAGAGTTATAGCACACAACTAATATGTTCTGTAAGATACGAATTAAAGAGTTTGAGAAGTTCAAGGAACATAACATTCCTCACATGTTTTTTTTTTTTTTTTTTTGTAATCTATGAAATATTTTGTAGGTTTCTCTCTCTCTCGCGCAAATTACTCGATCATCATTTTAGATATTGTACCCCATGCGCTAATCCTTGGCGATAATTCTGACACTCGCTTGATTTTGTGCTCCAGGTAAGAAAGGAAGAAGCTGAAGAATGACCGTTCGATGCGCGCGCGTTTTCATATTTAGAACGATCTGCATAACGCCGCGCCTCCTCACAGCGATTCGTTCCGCCAATTAATCCGCGTAACCGTTTCCTTCGCGCTACGTTATTAACGACTGTAGAATGTCGGTACATCAAAATTATTCATATTATTTATATCTCGACAAATGGCCTTTTTGAACGGATAATGAAATCTGCCATTTATCTTGTTTTAGAAAGAAGTGAAAACATTCTGGATCCATTTTATTTTATTGTAGTATCTTTTTCATAGCTCTATAAAGATGCATATGTAAATGTAACATTTCTTTTTTGCAATCTTAGAAAATAATTATATTCAATTAAATCAATTAACTGTATATTTTTTTAATATAGATATAATTCACTAATCCAGAGAAAACATTTATGTATATATAAATTATAACTGTTACCGTTTTTCGTACGTAATATTTTTTTTCAATAACATGTAACTCGAATTTCTATTTTATGAAGGTATATCTGATAACTTTGAAATATAATGTAACTTGAGATAAAAATACATTCAATACACATACACACACATATCTGATTATATTTCGTTAAATTATAAAAATATTAAAAATGGAACGATCTAACATTTCCATTCAGAATTTTAATTAAATCAGATCTTACGTAATACAATTGTACTTTAATTAACTTCATTATTTGCATCACTTTCTTTTGCGCAACAGGCGAGTCCGATCTAACAATTTGCAATGTGATAACGAAAATAAAATTTCCCACATTTTTTTTTTTTTTTTTTTTTTTGTAATCTATGAAATATTTTGTAGTGGCAACGAGAATTGACCGACAAATAATATTCGCCGTCGGTTTAGCGCCCTGTTGTTTACATTCCGCGCTGTTGTTTACATACCGTGCCGTGGCCTTGCCATTCACGCAGTGCGACTCGAGCGAGCAGGCAGTGGCCTGAACCTCTCCGTGTGTCGTATTATATTCTTCGGAATAT